TAGGTCCTTCCTGCTGGATGCGCCGCTTTCGGCTTCTGGCCTGTTCGGCGACGCCGTTAATTGCGGTTGTCGACAGGTTTCAGGAGTCAAGAAAACAATCTGCGGCGTTCCAGCAGTACCTCCCCCGGAAAGCGAAGGCCAAATCTAGTAGGGGAGGGGCAAAGCAATCAGCCCCAGCCATCAGACAGCTCCTCCCACAGGGCAGAGCAGAAGGAGAGCGTTTCCTCTAGAGCCCCCCCTCCGGGGTCTTGGCAACAGAGGAAACGCTCCCAAAAACCGAAGTCCTCCAGCCAGAGGGGCGACCTGAGGGACGTCATTCAGGCTAAGAGGACTTCGGAAAAGAGGTCCTAGCCAAGGCAGGACTTCAGAGGGCTGCCCCCTCCGCAGTGAGACAACCGAGGTTGTTCTCACAACGGGGCCCTCTAGGAAAAGATGCAGGTCCGCCGTTAACAGCGCTTCGGGCCGCATCAATTTCCAGCGAAAAGACACCAGAGGCCAGCCTCGAGAGGCTGGTACCCTTAGCAGATTTTGTAGAGGGATGGTATCATCTTCCCAACATATCTCCATGGGTCCTGCAGATAATACGAGTTGGGTACAGACTGCAGTTCGCGCACCGCCCCCCCAAGTTCTCTGGGGTGGTGCTCACTGCGGTGGTCCCAGAGCAGGCTCAGGTGTTGGAACAAGAAGTACAGACTCTGCTGTCGAAAGGAGCCATAGAACGTGTTCTTCCGGTAGACAGGGAGTCCGGGTTTTACAGCCGGTACTTTATAGTTCCAAAGAAGGATGGGGGTTAAGGCCAATTTTGGATCTCAGGGTGTTGAACCGGTCTCTGAGAAGGTTCAAATTCAGAATGTTGACCATTCCAACAATCGTGAGTCAAATCAGATCCGAGGACTGGTTTGTCACGATAGATCTGAAAGACGCCTATTTTCACATCTCCATCCTTCCTTGTCACAGGAGGTACCTGAGGTTCGCTTTCGGGGGCGAAGCATACCAATATCGGGTTCTTCCGTTCGGCCTAGCACTCTCTCCCCGCACATTTACCAAGTGTATGGACGTGGCCCTTGCTCCACTGAGACTTCAGGGGATTCGCGTATTGAATTATCTCGACGACTGGCTTATTTTGGCCCAGTCTCGGGAGATGGCAGTTCGGCATCGAGATGTCGTTCTTGGCCATATTCAAAAATTGGGGTTAAGACTCAATTTGAAGAAGAGTGTGCTAGAACCGTCCCAGGGCACGACCTTTTTGGGAGTCGTGTGGAACTCGATTACAATGCAGGCACGTATGTCTCCCGCACGTATCGAGTCAATTCTGGCGATGGTGTCCAGGGTGAGGCTAGGTCAGGCCGTCACTGTGAAACACTTTCAAAGGATGCTGGGCCTCATGGCAGCGGCATCCAACATTATTCCTCTGGGCCTCCTTCACATGAGGCCCCTCCAGTGGTGGTTGAAGACCAAGGGGTTCTCACCCAAAGGAAATCCGTTCCGTATGATCAGAGTAACGCGCAAGTGCCTTCAGTCTCTGCAAATATGGAAGAAGCCTTGGTTCCTATCCCAAGGGCCAGTGTTGGGGGTGTCATGTCGCCGGGAAACCGTTTCGACAGACGCCTCCCTTACGGGCTGGGGCGCGGTCATGGACGGCCGCTTTACCAGGGGTCTGTGGCAGGACCATCATCGCACTTGGCATATAAATTGCCTGGAGATGATGGCGGTATTCAAGGCTTTGAGGAGCTTCCTCCCAGACATCGAGGGTCGCCACGTCCTTATACGGACGGACAATACGTCAGTGGTGGCCTATCTGAACCGACAGGGGGGACTCAGATCGCGCCCTCTGTGCAAACTGGCGCATCAGATTATCCTTTGGTCCCAGGGAAAGATATTGTCAATAAGGGCAATGTATATCCCAGGGGTTCAGAATCGGGGAGCAGACATCCTGTCGAGGCAGGGGCTGAGGCCCGGGGAATGGAGACTTCATCCGGATGTGGTGAAGTCGATATGGGAGAGGTTCGGACCGATGGAAGTGGATCTGTTTGCGTCTCGAGAGACGTCCCACTGTCCACTTTGGTTCTCCCTCTCACATCCAGCCCCGCTGGGGTTGGATGCCATGGTACAGGCTTGGCCAAGGCTTCGCCTGTATGCTTTCCCCCCGATCGCTCTGCTCCCAGGGGTCCTGGAGAGGGTCCGTCAAGAGGGCATCAGTCTACTTCTGGTTGCCCCGAGATGGCCGACACGAGTATGGTTCTCGGATATAATATCACTCCTCATAGCTCCGCCATGGCCGATTCCTCTGAGGAGGGATCTATTGTCTCAGGCGGAGGGCACAATCTTCCACCCTCGCCCAGAGTTGTGGAAGCTGTGGGTCTGGCCTCTGAGGGGGTTCAGTACCTAAATGCTGGCTTATCAGCTGAGGTGGTTGAAACCATACTTAGCTCTAGGGCCCCATCTACCAGGAGATTATATGGCCTCAAGTGGAAGGTGTTTCACACTTGGTGTGGAGAACGAAGGTTGGATCCAGTAAACTGCCCAGTGGCTTCAGTTCTGGAATTCCTTCAGGATCGTTTCTCTGCGGGTCTCTCCCCGTCCACTCTTAAGGTGTACGTGGCTGCCGTTTCGGCTTTCCACGCGCCAGTAGATGGTGGACCTCTGGGGAGGCACCAATTGGTCATTAGGTTTCTCCGTGGTGCTTGGAGGATGAGGCCGGCGATCAGGTCCAGGATGCCTGCCTGGGATCTGGCAATAGTTCTGGAAGGGTTGTCCCTCGCTCCCTTCGAACCTTTAGAGTCGGCTTCGCCTAAGGACTTAACGCTGAAAATGGTCTTTCTCTTAGCGATTACCTCTCTTAAGAGGGTGGGAGATCTCCAGGCCCTGGCGGTAACGCCAGCTTGCTTGGAGTTTGCCCCTGGCAAAGTAAAGGCCTTTTTGCACCCGAGTCCGGGCTACGTGCCTAAAGTTCCTTCGAGTACGGCTCGCTCTGTAGTCCTTCAGGCATTCCATCCTCCACCTCATGTGTCGGCGGGAGAAGAGAGGCTTCACTTGCTCTGCCCCGTCAGAGCTTTGAGTGTATACTTGGAAAAGTCTGCTTCTTGGAGAAGATCTGACCAGTTGTTAGTATGCTTTGGGTCACCTAAGAGGGGGCTCCCGGCGACCAAACAAACTATAAGTAACTGGATTGTCCAGGCTATTACTGAGGCTTACAAGGTGCGTGGGGTTCCTTCACCTTTGGCCTTAAGGGCTCACTCGACTAGAGGCATGGCTTCCTCTAGGGCCCTTCTGTCGGGAGTACCTCTGCAGGAGATTTGTGAGGCAGCCGGCTGGGCTACCCCGCATACTTTCATCAGGTTTTACAGTCTCAGCCTTCCCAGTACGCCCGGTGCACACGTACTCGGCCCTTGCTGAGTGCCTAATCAGTTTCACTCTGGGGCGGGTCTGTTCGGTGCGTGGCCTAGTGGGTACTCGTTCCCCAAAGAGTCGATTTTATCGACGCAGTGTTGAGTTCCCTCGATAGGGAACGTCTCGGGTTATGACTATAACCCTTGTTCCCTGAGAAGGGAACGAGACACTGCGTCGTGTTGCCACGCCCCCTTTTCAGACCCTTGAGCGTCTTGCTTCATCGCGAGGCTAGTGTGTGTTGTGACAGCGTCACTTTTATACTTCCGGGTATGCCGTCACATGTTACGTCACGACGCAACACCAATCAGGATTGGATTAGTTTCATTCATACTTCAGAGGCGCACGCTTAGGGAGCGTCCCCAAAGAGTCGATTTTATCGACGCAGTGTCTCGTTCCCTTCTCAGGGAACAAGGGTTATAGTCATAACCCGAGACGTTTTCCACATAACATAACCAGCTTAAAGGGTTAGTTCACCCAAAAATGAAAATTAAGTCATTAATTACTCACCCCCATGCTGTACCAACCCCGTAAGACCTTCGTTCATCTTCGGAACACAAATAAAGATATTTTTGATTGAATCTGAGAGCTGGATCAGTCCTACATAGAATGCCAAAGGGACTGGCTCTTGATGGCCCATAAAGTCATTAAAGAAAAGGTTTAAATATTCCATGTGCCTACAGCGGCTCAATTATAAGTTTGTCAAGCGACGAGACTACTTTTTGTGCGAAAAAAAACCATAAATAACGACTTAATTCGACTATTCTATTACTTCCTTATGGGCGCATGCGCGAGAACTGAGACGAGGACGTTCTTCTCCTTCGACTACTTTTTGTTACCGGCTGCTCCGCTTAGGAGTTTTACCGCCACCTACCGTATAAGATGATGATCCATATATAAGGCGCTCCGGATTATAAGGAACACTGTCGTTTTTTGAGAAGATTAAAGGCTTTTAAGTGCACCTTATAGTGCGGAAAATACGCTAATTGAAAAGCGTATGTACAGCGCGCATCTTCCTCTGCTTGTAAACAGAACGTTTTGCACTTCCAGCTATATCAGCACATCATCTTATACGGTAGGGGGCGGTAATACTCCTAAGCGGAGCAGCCGGTAACAAAAAGTAGTCGAAGGAGAAGAACGTCCTTGTCTCAGTTCTCGCGCATGCGCCAATAAGGAAGTAATAGAATAGTCGAATAAAGCCGTTATTTATGTTTTTTTCGCACAAAAAGTAGTCTCGTCGCATGATAAACTTATAATTGAGCCGCTGTAGGCACATGGAATATTTAAACCTTTTCTTTAATGACTTTATGGGCCGTCAAGAGCCAGTCCCTTAGGCATTCTATGTAGGACTGATCTAGCTCTCAGATTCAATCAAAAATATCTTTATTTGTGTTCCGAAGATGAACGAAGGTCTTACGGGGTTGGAACAGCATGGGGGTGAGTAATTAATGACTTAAGTTTCATTTTTGGGTGAACTAACCCTTTAATGTTGATTCTGCAAGAAATTATGACTCAGTACAAAACAACTGTTTCGTGACGTCAGTTTTAATGTATTGTCGTTATACCGGTAAATAGTAATGCACACACTTTTACACCGGAACAAAATATAGTATGGATAATTTACATGTGATTATAATCGAATTCAAGAATTCTAAATATATGGTTTTATTTTTTCAAGCTATCATAACAGTACAACCACAGAAAGCCAGGGCCCAACTACATCAACACCTAGTAAAGGTCAAGGTGCTCTACGACATCCTATGACAACTAGAGAAGAATCTGCCTGGTAAGACCACTAATATAATCACATTGTATAGATCGGTGGGTAAGATACATGTTTATGCAATTTGTGAACATGGCCACTTTTGTTTCAAACAAAATCATTATGGAGTTTGCAGTGTTAGCCACCTCTAACAGACCCAGATAGCAACTGACATTGAATCAACGTGGAAACGACGTCTCTCATGACATTGAAACAACGTTGATTTTGCTCATCGAATTAACGTTGAACCAACGTCAGACGCGGCATTCTTCAAAGCTAAATGAAAATCGAAAATTGGTTTGCTTTCATAACGTTGAAACAACGCGTTGATTTCAAGTTGATTTTCCGTTAGTTTTGAAAGAATGACGCATCTGACGTTGGTTCAACGTTAATTCGATGAGCAAAACAATGTCAGATCAACGTTGTTTCGATGTCATATTTCCACGTTGATTCAATGTCAGTTTGCTATCTGGAAGAGTTTGTCTAGTCATTGTATTTGTAATACTTCTGTCTGTCTGTAGAAAATAAATAAATAAATAAATAAAACAGTGACTTTACCATCATTAAAGTCAGTACTATGTAGTTACATGAAATGCACACAATTTGTTTGCACCTTTCATTACATTATACAGCTGGTTTACATGTCGTAATGCTGTACACATGTATTATATTTGTTATGTAATTTGTTTTGTTGACAGTGACGATTTTCTATTTGGAGCTGAGGATCAATCTTTGAGGTCTATGGAAGACAGGTATATGTCTAAAAGTGGACATTACATTGACACCGCTAAAAGTACTCTTTTTTTTTTGTATTGTACATTGTTTCGTTTTCTATGTACTCAAACATGCTTTGTATTTAGTATGAATTCCATGATACTTGTGGATGGCTCTGTAGTAGTGGATGAACAACAGGCTAACAGCCTTCAGAACAGTGTGTAAGTGGAAAACATAATGTAATCATCTTTTTTTGATAACACGTTTGAGTTTGTAAGTGACATTTTCTGGTTGTCTTTTGTAGAATTGAATTGACAGACAAAATGGCCTCAGAATTTTCTGATGTTGACTATGTCCCACCAATATGTGTGCGGTATGTATTGCTGTAATTTATTGGCAAGGTTTGTCAAAAATCACAAATGTAGAAATTTTCAGTCTGTAATTGTAAAGTCCAATGTGTATTTGACAGTTGTTGTTTTTTTGACACACAGAGCAGCTAGTGCATTACAGAATGTCATTGACAGACTCCCCATTATTGGTCTTGGGGAATCTGTACTAGACATACATGACCGTGGAGATGCGCCAGGCAATGAGCCAGATGTTCCGGATAACCCAGAGCAGCTACCAGCCTCTAACATGCCCACCTTCCCCGGCCCAGAGACAGTCAGTTCTGAAGATGACCTCATTGACAAGCCTGCTTGCATCACTTATAATAGCAGCTTAATGCAACTGGCCACTTTCCTCCAGCTGCCCATCAAGAAGTGCTTTTACATTGACCACCGCACAGGTAGTGAATGTAACGGCATTCCACCTTTCCAGGTGAAACTTCATTCAAGGGGTACTGCGGCCGTTGTAGAGTGGGTGAGTAAACATTACTGTTTTAATCTTCCAGCCTTACAAATGTTTTTAATACTCATAGAGCCGCGATAAGGAATCCATAAGGAACTCAGAAATGACATTCTACATTCTATGACCCGACTCATTTGTAATTATATACTATAATTATTCCTACATCTCTTCCAACATTTATGACGGTTTGCACATCAGCTCTATGAATGCATACATGTAATGACAGCTTTTACATACTAACCCAATTTTATAATTGTGTGTGTACAATTAGTTACGTATCATACCTCCTTGCACACAATGTAATTTCCTGGTTTTTTAGGTTGTATTCTCTTATTTCGACTACTAACATTTGTTTTCCCTTTCCTCTCTCCTATTACTGCACTGTTACAGAGTGGGTTAACAAAAACTTCAGTCAATCTTTTTATATTAGATTCTTGTGACTAAAAATTAAAATAATTGTCAGTATTAGAGTTAGTTCTCGGTTGCTAAAAGAAAATTTGCACGGATTCAACCACACCAAGTGTTGTCTTTTCATTTACAGTTGTGTTCAAATGGGCATAATCTCTGGAAGTGGTACAGCCAGCCACTCCTGAAGTATGGAATGCAAAGAGGGGACTTCATGTTGTCTACAAACATACTGCTTTCTGGAAATAACTTCTCAAAGGTTGCCCTCCTTTTCCGATTTATGAATATGGGAATGGTGGCACCCTCAACATTCTACGCGTTGCAGGACACGTACTGTGTGGATGCTATAAAACATTTTTGGGAGCACAAGAGGACTTTGATAATTGACCGCTTGAGAACAAAGGATAGTGTTGTAGCTCTAGGTTAGTAGGTAACTGAATTGTAATATGTATTACTTTCTGTTATCTTGCATATTGTATAATCCCTTTCACCTAACAGGTTAGATAATGCACATTGTATTATCAAAAATAACATTAAATACTATTTATATGTTTCAGCTGATGGAAGGATGGACTCCCCAGGTTAGTCATTGAATTTCTCTGTAATGTGTGTTCACTAAACAGATTATTCACCTGTATACTTTAGAGTATTATGACATATTTTTTTCTATAGGTTACTCCGCCCAATATTGCACCTACACTACCATGGAGCATGACTCCAAGGACATAATTAGTGTAGTTACAGTTGACAAACGACTAACCAACCTGAACAGTGTGGTCATGGAAAAGCATGCCTTTATACAGACATTTGACCAGCTTCTTGGAGAACTAAACATAACAGAGATTGTCACAGATGCACATATGCAGATTTCAGCACTTTTGAGTGAGTATATATTTATCAATTTTATTCTTAGTAAATTATTTACTAAGACTGCTGCTTTATATGATTATTTCAATGTTTACTTTTAGAAAATTTATGAGATTACAGACAATACAATACCATTGTATCTCAAGTAAAATGAGGAGTACTGTAGTGGGGAAGACAATACAAATACAGTCATGTTGATATCAGAATAGTACCAGTTATTGTGTGATTGTGTCTATGTGTTTGTTTTTATTTGTCAGCCATACTTGTCTGGATGAAGGACATTGTTAATCATTTTTGGTTTTGTTGCCAGACGGCGGACAATCGAGAGGAGTTCATGGTGATTATAATGGCCAACAATTGGTTTTGTTTGTAATCACTGCACACAGGTCCGGATGGTACTGTCATTCAGCATGTAAAGTGTCTAATGGATATCAAAACATTTGCTGTGCTTGTGTGAATTTCCCTCCGATAAAGTTTTGGCAGAAATGTGCAGTCTATTATAGTGAAATATGCTCTTGTAGGTGGTGAATGTTCATGTTTGATACACAGCATTTGTAATTAAACTAAAAACTTATTGTATTTTAGGGTATGTGGCGAGGGGTCCTTCACCATGTCTGTGGTGTGCATGAATGGGCACTTGGAAAATGTCTACATCAGCCACTGGATGGGGTGAGCAGTGCTAAAGAATGCATGCTGTCCCGTTCAGCAGCACATGAGGCACTCTCACAAATCGTGCTCAACAGACGATGGCTGAAGGATGTACTGTAGAAAAATTTCTGACATTTCGGTAAAACATAACACCCTTGTATATAACCTCAAATAACACCCTTACTGATATTATAACATCACTATAAATAATTATTATTATAAATAATCAAAATAATCATTTTACATGATAGTGTTGTCTACATAATTTTTCATATAAAGTAATATGTTTTTTTTCTTACTTTTCCATACAGGTCAACTTCTGAACTTGAGTCTTTCCAGAATCATCTGTTGATGTATGTTAGCAAGCGGTTTGCCTTCACTCCTCCTGTATATGAAGCAAGGACCCTCCTCGCTGCACTGGACTACAATCACCACAACCACCGACCAGTACAAATCATACAGAGGGGCGAATTTTCGTAAGTCATACATACATACATATATATATATATATATTTTTTTTTTTTTACCGTTTGCATTTGAATTGTTCTGAAGAAAACTGACAATGGGGAGCCGACCACACTGAATGGATAAGTTGTTACTAGCAGTTTAAGCACCATTCTTACTAGTACATTAGATATTGTTGCGCCAATTAGATTAAAAAAGGTTCGAGAGAAAATTAAAGCACCGTGGTACAACAGTGCTACGCATGCTATCAAGAGAGAAACTCGCAACTTAGAGCGTAAATGGAAACAAACTAATTTAGAGGTCTTTAGAATCGCGTGGAAAGACAGTATGTCACGTTATAAAAAGACACTAAAAACAGCCAGGGCTGAGCATCTCTGCAAACTAATCGAAAATAACCAAAATAATCCAAGGTTTTTATTTAACACCGTGGCTAGACTAACAAATAAACAGACATCACCAGAGCAAAATATACCTTTACAGTTTAGTAGTAATGATTTTATGAATTACTTCAATGCGAAAATAGAAAGCATCCGAAACAAAATTATAAATGTACAATCCGCTATGGTGTCTTATGATTCAGCTTCAATTATGGACCCTCTAGAACAACTAAACCGCTTTAAAACGATAGGACAGGAGGAGCTAAATAAACTTATCATTGCATCTAAACCAACAACTTGTTTATTAGATCCAATACCCACTAAACTACTGAAAGAACTATTACCTGTAGTGGAAGAGCCTCTCCTCAATATTATTAACTCGTCTTTATCTTTAGGTCATGTCCCAAAAATATACAAGCTGGCTGTAATAAAACCGCTCATTAAGAAACCGCAATTAGATCCAAATAACTTGGCAAATTACAGACCCATTTCAAATCTTCCATTTATGTCCAAAATACTTGAAAAAGTAGTGTCCGCTCAATTGTGCTCTTTTTTGCAAGAAAATGATATCTATGAAAAATTCCAGTCAGGATTCAGACCGCATCATAGTACAGAAACTGCGCTAGTTAAAATTACAAATGATTTACTTTTAGCTTCTGACCAAGGCTGTATCTCAATACTAGTCCTACTTGATCTTAGCGCTGCGTTTGACACTATAGATCATATAATACTCTTGGATCGACTACAAAACTTCACCGGTGTCCAGGGACAGGCATTAAGCTGGTTTAGATCGTACTTATCGGACCGTTCTCATTTTGTCTGTTTAAATGGGAAAAAATCAAAGATGACGTCAGTAGACTATGGAGTACCGCAAGGATCAGTTTTAGGCCCTCTGCTATTCTCAATATATATGCTGCCACTTGGTAATATTATAAGAAAACATGGAATTAATTTCCACTGTTACGCTGACGACACTCAATTATATATTTCATCACGACCAGATGAAAACACTAACTCATCTAAAATGACAGAGTGTCTCAAAGATATAAAATGCTGGATGACGCGTAATTTCCTGCTATTAAATTCAGATAAAACGGAGGTATTACTTATTGGTCCAAAAAACTACTCCCAAAACCTCTCACAATACAACTTTAATATAGACGGATGTCCTGTTACTTTATCCACAACAGTAAAAGACCTGGGTGTTATACTAGACCGCAACTTGTCGTTCGAAAATCATATTTCATATGTTACAAGAACAGCCTTTTTCCACCTTAGAAACATTGCTAAGCTACGTAACATGCTATCTATTTCTGATGCAGAAAAATTAGTTCACGCATTCATGACCTCGAGACTAGATTACTGTAATGCTTTATTAGCCGGTTGTCCTGCATCCTCAATAAACAAGCTACAGTTAGTACAAAATGCAGCTGCTAGAGTTCTTACTAGGTCAAGAAAATATGATCATATAACACCGATTTTATCATCTCTACACTGGTTACCTATTAAGTTCCGCATCAACTACAAAATACTACTACTGACCTATAAAGCCCTAAATGGTTTAGCACCTATGTACTTAACGGACCTTCTTTCGCCCTACAATCCACCGCGTTCCTTAAGATCACTAAATTCAAGGCTTCTGGTCATTCCTAGGATATCGAAGTCCAGTAAAGGAGGGAGGGCGTTCTCGCATTTAGCTCCAAAACTCTGGAATGGCCTTCCCGATACGGTCCGAGCCTCTGACTCGCTGACACAGTTTAAAACTAGATTAAAGACGCATCTCTTTAGTCAAGCATTCACATAATGCTTACCTTCTAGTCCTCTGTTATGCCATACGGAACCGTTTGCCACTGAAACTGCTTAACGCACCAGTGGGGCTCGACAGCCTCTTAGACAAACGGGTCGGCGCGTATGGTCGGCGCGTATGGTTGGGTTGCGGAGAGTTCGGGTTACGGAGAGTTTGTGAGTTATAACGGAAATTATTATGAACATCAGCTATGCTAATTATTTCCCATCTGCCTTTCTGCTGTTATCTCGGGACGCTTGTCCCGAGAAAAATGGCGTTCGTCAGGTCCAGTTTTGTGTCCAGCCTCTCACGGGGATTTCGGATGCCCCAACGCCTGTGATGAGACGACTCAACGCCTGTGATGAGACGACTCAACGCCTGCGATATGTTATGGCGCCGTTTGATTCATAAACAATATTTATATTTAATATTTATATTTAAACAATATGAATGTAAGCCAGAGAAGAACTGGCCCCCGACTGAGCCTGGGTTCTCCCAAGGTTTTTTCTCCATCCAATCTGATGGAGTTTGGTTCCTTGCCACTGTCGCCTTGCTTTTGGCTTGCTTTGAGCTTGCTCAGTTGGGGTTATTTATTTAGTGTTTAGCAATGTTGTTGATCTGTGTTGTGCTACTTACATGTTATCACTGTGAAGCTGCTTTGATACAATCTGTATTGTGAAAAGCGCTATATAAATAAATGTGACTTGACTTGACTTGACTTACTGCCAACTAATGTTTCTTGTATTTCAGACAAAGAAGAATATACAGCAAAAAGTCAAAACGTTATCGTGTCCACACGGTAAAAGTTGCAAAAAACTACAGCTACATCCCTCAACTGCAGCGCAAAATTTTTGCTGGAACGTTTGAAATCCACTGGAGGACTCCCGAGAAGAAGAATTCTCAGGCAAGATGACCCACGGAGTCTTGGTCTACTTTCTGGACTTGTGCCAACACCAACAGCTGAACTGGCCCGGGCACAGATCTGCCGAGGACAGGTATGTGGACAATGTGCCTACTGTCACATCTGATTGGTCACAAGCATTTTGATTATGAGTCATGCAACAAAAGAAAAGTGGTCAAAATTACAAATCTTTATTCTGTAATGTCAAGATGCATTTTTCTTCTAATCTCATAACTTATGAATTATATGGCACTGCTAGTTAATTTAAATAATTTGTATCAGCTCAATGTTAATTTATTGTTGAAATGGCACCTTTTTATACTAATTCTAATAGAAATTGTTGTTTTTAATAAACATCTCTTTACTTTTCACCTAAATGGGGCTTCTTTGTAACCAACATAGTTTGAAAATGGGTCAGGGTATTTCTCTCTTATACGCCATACACAGCAACTAGGTATTACCACCCTGTTTCCGGTCCCAAATCGTCCATGTTGCCAGACGGTTGTCCGACTCTTGGTTGTCCGACCCTGGTTCCTGCAAGTCATTGAGTGCCAGGATGTCATTCCAGGTCTGCCGAGCCAAGCGTAGGATGCCCTCATCAAGACAATAGAGTTCCATATGGGCACTCCTACTGAGACAATGCTCAGGATCCTGACTGCAACATTTGTTTTCCAGATCTGTCGGCTTAAGCCGACAGGCAGGTGCACCATGTGGGCTGTCCTCTGTGTTGGATATTTTCTCCAGGTGTCACTCGCCTTTGGTCCATAATGTCAATTAATAACCCCTGGCATGCGATTTACCACCATCTGTAAAAGTTCATCCCTCTCCTCCTGGGAGAGTTGTTGCAGTGTTGTCTAGAAATTGAACAAGCAAGAATCTGTGTTTAGGATTGCTACATTCACATTTCAAGTGTATTGATAATTTTCAAATTGTATATTTTTTTCTTGAACAATAATGTACGACTGACGAACCTGCATCTCTGCTGTCCTGGCAGCACTCAGCATAGCAACCCGGTGTCTGTCCTCTTCCGAAACAGCTCCAGCTCTTCCTCGGCCTCTACCTCGGCCTCTTCCTCTTCCTCTTCCTCTTGCTCTACCTCTCCCTCTCCCCTCTCCACTACCACTGTCACTGCTTTCAGTTTGTAGAGGTTCATAATTTTCTGAATCGGAATCCTGAAATTCAACCAATGCAGTGGCTATTTATAGTTTGAAAATTTTCATTTTTTGAAATATGTTGAAATAAATATTAGTAAACTGTAGCGAAATAGCATGGTAAACTAAATGAAACATGAACTGAATACAAATGAATGTTCCACAGGATAACAAAAAATTGGGGCTTTAGCATGTAGGCTAACTTATTTTATTTGCTAGATCTACTGACTACATCACCCATCCCACTACTATCATATTTTTTATACACATTTCCAGACACGTTCAGTACAGTAGGCTAATATTACTACCTACGGTCTTACTGTTTCACTGAAATTGTTCAGTTTAGTTCAATAACCATTTTCGTTATCATATTACACATCCACCTATGTTGACATTGCTGACTGTGAAAGACTCACGGATAGTTAGTG